TCGTATAATTTCATGTTTTAGCATTTCTTGAATTTGCTTATTTACTTCGCTTCGGTGTCTCTCGGGGAGACGATACGGACGCACGTTCACGCTCGCGGTGTCGGCTCGCGTTGTTATCTCGTGTGCTATCCTTGTCGTATGCGTCAGTGGTTCTCCGTCTAGGTGGAACACGTCGTTGAAATCTTCTCATATTCGGAATATCGTTTTTCTTTCTTCTTGGTTTAAATGAGTAACCCTTAGTAGGCTGTTGATTTTTTCTTCACGCGGTAGTTCGATTTTATCGTTGCTTGTCGCGTGGTTAATGTTTTGTCCGTTAATAAAATCTTCTGTTAAATTTTCAATTTTTACATATGGTGTTTCTATTTCTATTTCGTTTTCTGTAGTATTCACAATGCTCACGGGTCATGTGTATTCGCGAGGCTCGACAAGGCAGCTCCCGATGAAAATCCCTGGCGCAATTTCTTCAGCTTGCGTCACGCCGGTTATATTTCGATCTACCGTCGCTTGGACAATAGTTTCGCTTCGCGGTCCTAGTTTTACTCGTTTGTACGGACGAAGTCTAAATTTATTATTCCCGATGCGGATCAGCATTTTATCATAGTCGCATCCTGAAGTATATTTCTTTATAAAGTCGGCTCCTAAAATGCCGTCGTGTTCGATGGGTACGTTGTCCCTAATTACGTGCACGGGGTGTTTAAGTTCACCGTCGCGCAGGCTTATCGTTATATTTACTATACCGATCGGTTCAATCGCGTGTCCGCTGATACCGATTAATCTAGTTTTATTTTCGTGGACTATTGTATTGGCGCGTAAAGTTTTCATTTTTACTAATGTAATCATATAAGAAACTTATTTTTCCTGTTTCGGCTTCTCGGGCAGGTAGTGTAATTAGATCCAGTTCCGTGTTCTCACGTGGTCGTCTTATGTGTGCGACGCGGTAGTCACCGATAGTCACCGTTCCTGTTTAGTACTTGTGTTATTTTTTTCTTCGTCCTCGCTGCTAGTAGACGATGCTTCCTCGCTGTCGCTGTTTCGCTTGCTCCTTTGATTTCTCACCTTTACGGCGGAGTTTACTCGCTTCGTTTTGTTCTCCATTTCACGTTTTGCGCGTGGTCGCGTATTTTTGTCGGGTCGCCCGTTAAGTGTCCAGCACTCTTCGCGATTATGTCCCGCCTTTTTGCAATACGTACAAAATTTCTCGACGATATTAATTCCTGCTCGCTTTTCGGCACGAGGCAAGGAAAATTTATTCGCGTATCGGCTTGTCCGACAATTTTGACCGATGTGGCCCGTTTTTCCACATTTACCGCATTGGGGTGTGGGGTTTCTCAAATTTCGCGGGGAGTAATAATTTGAGTCCGTTTTCTTGTCGCGTTGATACGCGCGGTGTCGGTCGTTTAGGCCTTTTATTTTTTCTTCGGAACTTGCTCCGGCAATGACCTCTTGAAGCGTTCGGAAGTGCTGCGAGCGCACTAATGTCTTTATTTCTTCCCGCAATCCGATTTGATAATTCGCTAGGGCCTGATCTCTGACGTGCTCTAGGATGGCTTGTTGCTGAATGGAATTATGATTTTTTCCTTCTTCCATGGAGTCGTAAAGTTCTATGGCTATGTCCTCTACTCTGCGCCCGAATGCTTGCGCGGTTTCCGTTGGTTTTTGCTTCAACGAATTGAATTCGAGCTGTAAGTGTGCGGTGCTTCTGCGGCTTAGATATTCCGTCTCTAATTCGTCCTTTAGTTGCTCATAGCTAGTGATTTCCCTGTTTTTGAAAGTTTTCATCGCCTTTCCCTTAAGTTTGGTGCATAACACGGCGTCTAGTAGAGTGGATGCATCCGAGGGTTGAGTATGCCGCATGGCGTAATCACTTGCTTGTATAAATTCCTGCACGCGATCTCGCGAGGTGCCGTCCATCTCGGGGATCATGTTACGTGCTTCTTTTAAGGTCAGATAGTGAAGGGATCCTCCGGGTTCGCGGGATACGTGTGTTAGCGAATTATCTGTATGTTGGCCGGAATCCCGTATTATTCTATTGTCGTGTCGGACGGATCGAACATTTCCTGTTCCGTGATTATTTGTAAATTCCAGCTGGTCCATTCTATCTTGTAGACCGGTAATGGCTGCTATCAATCGATCTAGGACTTCGTCCTGTCTGTTTGTTACTCGCGTTTCTATTGAATCTTGCGTGTCGTGTTCGTCTTCGGAGTGGTCTGTTTGGAAGGTCACCCTTCGTCTACGCCTGTTCTCCGGAGTACTGCGATCTTGCGGGTTGATTGAATTTTGGGCGTTTTCTTCGCCTGAGATTAGTAAGCGTTCAGGGGTTTGGTCCCTGGGTGGAGTACGCGGCGTCGTCATGTCACGGCTGTTTTGAGTAGTCTCGTCTGATTTAATTTATATTTTCGTCGCGTATTGTCAGCGCGCGGTCGCGTTCGTTTTTATTATTTATGAGTTCGTACGTCTGTTGGTACTATTCCTGCGCTACTTGCGTCTTGTTTTATTAAGCTACAATCGTTTAGATTTTAGCGGAAATTCGCGATTGGTTATTACGCGATGGGGTAAACTTACTTTGCTTCTATCGAGTGATTCGATTTAATATTTATTTTATCGCGGGTTTCTTTACGCGCGTTGCTCGTTATGATTAACGGCGGTTTGCTATTCGCTCGCTCGGCGGTGTCTTTTATTAATCTACAATTACGCGGGTCGGTACCCTGTGCGTCTATCGTTTCAGACATACACGGTCTTGTCGCATAACATGAATACGACTTACATTAGTAGAATCGCTCGCGTCATCGTTGCGCTGCTCGTCTCGCTCAGCTGTTCGGATGTTGAAGTTCTGCGAAGTCTGCAGTCCGTGTCAGCTGTCGATGTTGCGCTGTTCCCTTCGTTGACACCGTCTCGATGCAAGGTCGCTGGTGGTTGGTCCTCGTAACGCCTCGGGTCCTGGCAGCCTTCCTTGGTACCGAGGTAGCTCCGGGCGTCGACCTCTGCGTGGTGTTGTCGACTCACTTTTAAATTTTGTTGCTAGACTAATAAGTCTTAGCTACGGCATGCACTCGCCGTGTATTTTTACGTATCTTCTCTTACTTGAGAGATCGTAATCGGAGATTTAATTTTTCTCCGGCCCGTTGCCACTGCGCGGCTTGCACGGGTCTTGTTTCGTCTCCTCTAGCGGCTAAGATCGTCGGGTTCTCTTGGATTCCCTCCGATTTTTCCGGTGATGTCTCACCAGATTATCCCACCGCTGCCACCAATTTTGTTGTACCTCTCGGTGCAACAAGATATTATTTTGGGATTCGATCCGCTCAAAGGGTTGGAACCCACGAGGAAAGACGAGGATAGTAAAAGGTCGTTGAACAAACACTCACTTCACCACACTTCTATTTAAAATAACCCTTTTTATTTAACAATTTGATAGTTGATTACAAATGTTGTACCCCTTTATTTATATAATTATTTATTACTAAAGATTACAATGCTTTTTAGTAACTGTAACTTTCATTTAATTAATACAGTTGTTTAGTTAAATGAATATATTTTAAAGTTATCGCTCGTGACTTATGAGTAAACCGGTCGGCGACGGTATCGCGGATGTTACTTGACTCGGTTCTCGCGACGCGCGTAACGTATCGTTACGTTTAGATTTCAAGACAAGACTCTCCGCTCGGCATTTAGGCGGTCGCTTATATTGAGTTTGATGATGTCGCTTTTGGTCTTCGATCGGACCATATATGGTAATATTCGTCGCGCTAGAGGCGCGATCGCGTGATTAAAGAATGTGCAATCTTGCACTTCCGCTGTTGGTTGCCATGCCGAGTGCATTTAGGTATTTCGCGCGCTACGATCTTAGATCGACGCTTTGTCGCGCGCGGTTTAAAGAATGTGCAGACTTGCATTTCCGGTGCCGGTTACTATGCCGGTTGAATGAAATAATTGATAAAATAAGTGATAGCCATTCGGGCTATAACAAGAACAAGCCAGTTACTTTTCTTTAGATATAAGATTTAGTTGTAAAACTGCCACGAGCAAGGACATACAAATAAAATAAATAATTTCTTTTTCTTTTAGAATGAAGTACGGGCGCGAGATTTTATTCCGAAATGTACTTTTTATTTACCGCAAATTATTGTAAATCCAAGCGCTTGCTTAAGTGTCAGTCACTTTAAAATCATCCCTAACCAGGCCTCGAGGACGCCCTACTCCAAGGCCTGTTAACACTCTATTGGCACATTAATAAGCCGGACCTGTGGAACACGACGCTATATTACAAAAAAATTCTAACTTGGGAATACGAGGATAATTACTTACCAGTCAGCTGATGATAGTAAACATTGACGAAGTCTCATTCAGGAAGGAGCATAACCGCTCTCCCCTCCCATAACTGACACAACCACCATACACTCACGTTGATTCACAGCGTTTAAAACCCCGCTGCTCATTCTTAAGAAGGGGGGTATAACGTCCGCCGAAAAGCATATACAGACGGCGAACGTCACTAACAGGCAACGCGAAGTGGTTGTCATAACAACCATCTAGCGTCCTGCTCCAAGAAGTGATCACGCGCTTATCGCATGATCAACAGCTGTAACGATACTTCAAGCGCGCGAGCATCGAATTAATGTAATTGTGCGAACTGAATATAAAATAAATAGAACAATAAATTAGCAAGTGATACACTTTGAATAAACATAAAACTACATACTTGTGCAAAATCAAGGCACAAATACTAATTATATAAGGATCAAAGATTGTTTATTCAAAACCTGTAATCACTTAAGTATAAAATCAATATCAGTTTGAAAAATAGTATAGTAACAACAAATACTAGTCATTTCGCTTAAGTATCTTAATTAAAAACCTCTTAAATAAATAATGAGGTAACGCGACGAGGCATAGCGAGCCGAAACAAAGAGCCGATACGTACGGCATAACTATGTGCATAAAAACGAGAGCAACTGTTCGGGCGAATTACCGCTTAAATCAATAGTCAATAAGATGCAGAAATTGCACCACAGTGTTGTGCCTTGCGGGGGCTGTGCCCATCAATGTGTAGCCTCCCGAATTTAACTGCTAACTATTGAAAATTAATAGAAATTAACAAATAGAAAAATACAGAATAATACCGGTAAATAAGCTACACATGGGGGGTCAATTCCCCTCACCGCTCAGCATCACCATTCGACATAAACAGAAGTTCCGAGAATTTTCCAGACGATTCTGGAAACAGAAATTCGTGACGCAGTTTCCGAAAAGGACAATCCCCCTTGTACTCGCGGGGATCACCCCTTGATTTGTATATAAACCGTGTCCGCTAAGAGCGCAGCGCACTTCGTTTCTTAGTATTCCAATTTGCACTTCGCTTCACGAGTAAGCACTTCGGTTTTCGCAATCTAACTTCAGTTGTCGCACTTCTTTTTCGAACAAGTACTGATCAGTTCTAGTTTTGAATATCTGCATTTAGCTTCAATGAAATCATGAAAGTTGGTCGCGAATACTGTTAATTTGTTTGTTTTTGTATTCTTTATTAGATCAGCGGTAAATTCGAACAATATCGGTGCCCGTAATACATATATATATATCTACATTTTGTTCGCATTATTAACAATCAATTTTTTTTGTGTAAGTAAACAGTGAAATAAACCTCTTTTTGGTTCAACTTTTCTTCTACTCAATTTAATTACTTTCCTAGTGTCGTAATGTTTCGGCAAATAAAGTGCCTAAGTGTTTCGTGATCGTCTGTGGTGTCCATAATTGTTAAAGTGATCTGAATTCTCGGAGAGCGGTAATTTATAATAAAAACGCGTTGTTTCGAGGGCCTCTCTGGGAACGGCTGCTGCGAGTTTTAAGACAAACTCCAGCCGCCTATGGAGCAAGGCTGCAGCGGCTTTCGGTAAACAGAAAGCCGCACCCCGTTTCTTCCGGTTACGCTTCCTCTCGGTGTTAGCCATTTGGTTTTTAAAATAACAGCAGCGACAGCTGCTCCACTCGCGAATCCAGGTTACCCAACACCTAGGATAATGGTTGCAGGAGCGTGTAAATGTCCCGTCGAAGGGACTCTGGACGTCGGATGGCGTACCGGCGCCTAGTGCGCGAGTACAACATATTCGCTGACTTTGACCCGCGCGCTGTACTCGATCCCGACTGGATCCACCGGGAGGTCCCGGTCTATCACCCGGTGCCCGGGAATCTAGGGGCGTACGAGCCGGGAGCGCGTTGGGTGCAAGGCAAGCCCTACGTGAGGAAGGCTGATGTTCTTCGCCGCGGACAATCCGAAGTCGCGGAACCGACGTCTAAGTCGGTTGAACCTATCCAAGGAAAACCGACTATAATAAGCAATAAGCCTTTTAACCGGCTGATGCGCCTGGCGGTGTTTTGCCCTCCACCAGACCCCAGTTATCATGTGGGTCAAATACTCTTAGCAAAACGGGCTCCTCGCTCGACGTCCGACCCTCTAATAAAAAGCCAGGACGTCACAGACAGACATTTTTCCGTAGAATACGGGAACCTTTCTTTTATTAATTATAAAAATATAAAATATATGTAACCCCCCCTTTTATTATCATGTGTGTAGATGCAATAAGAAAACATTTTCCTACATACACGGATAAAAACTTTCAAGATCATGTATCCTCATGGTTTAAATACGCAAAAACTAGATCTCTGAGAGAAAAAGCAGGTATATTTTTTATTAATAATATATAAATTAGTATAGAAAAAATATATAGATGATATTAAAATAAAAATTAAAGATTTTAACGAGTTCATTGGCTCGTAGCTCTGTTTCTCTTTATTATAAATTATATTGTTCTCTCTCAAATATATTTTTCATACACTATATTCTGAATCTGTTACAGGCCGAGATGAAAAGAAGAACACCGACGAACCCTTATATGAATAGATTGTATATAGGTATATATATTAGATATATATACATATATATAGGGTGGCTCATTTTAATCGACGCACCCGAATATCTCCTAAAATACGCCAGCTATAAAAAATGTTTCAAATAAGAATGGAATGGTGTCGAGGGGGACACGTTTTAGTCACATTGTTTTTTTTCTAAGTGGAGGCGCTAAAAAGATATGAAGGTCACCTCCACTTTTTTAAATGGAATTATGTAATTTTTTTTAGATAACGTGATTCCTCTAACTATTTTGCATA